GCCGCCGCCGCCATGCGATCAGGCAGTGCGCTGACCGGCCCGGCCGGCCGGCCCCTTCTGGGTCCTCCCTGTGCAGCCCGTGCGGGGCCGTCCCGGAGACCCCGCGCCGACGGCTGCTCAAACATCAGGGTGAGTTTCTCACAATGTAGCAATTTCTCTTTAAATCTCTTAACTCTCTCTACCTGCGAGTCGGGGCTGTGACAGGGCGCAAAAGCGAGGGGGGGAGTGGGGGTTGGCGGCGAGGGTGTGTGTGGGGGGAGCCGGAGCCGGGGCCGAGCCCCCCCCCCGACACACACTCTCAGCCCCCCAACCGGGGCGCAGCGCCCGCCGCCTCTCCGCTCTCTTTTTTTTTTTTTTTGCTCGGCGGCGCCCACCATCATCTTCACCCCACCCCACCCCGGCTCTCTCCCTCCACCGTCGTCACCCCGATCTTTCGGGGACCCCCCCCTTTTCTCCCTATACACACACACACACACACACACACACACACCCGGCGGCCCCTGCCCCAGCCCGGCTCCCGGTGCCTCCCCGGCCCTCCCGCCGGCGGCCCCGGATACAATGGAGCGGCGGAGAAGCGAGACCCGACGTTCCACGGGGGGAAGGGCGGGACCCCCCCTCTGCCTCGGGGGACCCCCGCCCCTCGCCCGCTCCCCGCCTTTCGGGGTGTGTGTATGTGTGTGTGTGTCTGGGGGAACCGATGAGGGCAGTGGGGCAGCCGGTGGCTATTTCCCGGTCCGAGGCGAGCGAGCCCTCCGTTTCTCCCCGTCCCCTGCGCCCCCTCCCCCAAACGCTCTCATGGATCGGGGAGGGGGAATGTGGGGGTTCCGGGGCACCTCGGCCTGCTGGGGAGGGCTGGATGGGGTCTCCCCCTCCCCGCCGCCCCCAAACAATGAGCGGAGTTAACTTGCCCCCCACCTCCCCGAGCCAGGGACCCGGTGGGCCCCCGCCCCCCCCACCCCCAGCCGGCGGGCCCCAGAATTGGCGAACGTTACAGGAGGGGAGAAAAGGGGGGGGAGTCCCAACTCCTGTCATGCCCCCCCCCCGATCTCCACCCGGACGGGCCGGGAAGGGGAGGCACCAGGCCCAGCCCGGGCACCGCGCTCGGGTGGTGACCTTTAGACAAAGGCAGCCCTTTCCCGGGGGTGAGCCCGGGCCTCTCCGGGCCCCTCGACGGGCACCGGCGGGAGGGCGGGCGGGCGGGAGGGAGGGAGGGATGGCGGAGGAGGAGGAGGAGGAGGGACGAGCCATCTGGTTTTCCCATCTCTGGCTGCCCCCTTCGGCTGCGTCCCGGGCTCCTGTCACGGGCGGCGGCCGGGAGACGAGGGAACCAGGGTCTGCCCGGCCCTGCCCGGCCCTGCCCGGGCCTTGGTCGGCCGCCAGCCGGGAGGGAGGACCGCGGCGCGGGCGGGCGGGGGCTGGAAGGCACCGTGGCCGCTTCCTCCCCGCGCGCCTTTGTTTTGCTTTGTGGTTCTGAGCAGCTGAACCTCCGGGCTAGTGGGGGTCAGAGGCCGCGGGGTCACCTCTCTTGGGGGAGGGGGGAGAGTCTTGGTGACAGCTCTGACATCCCCCCCCCAGGCTGTGGGTACCAGTTGGTGCCCAGCCACCCCCCCACCCTCCTCCCCTTCTTGCAATAAAAATCTAGGGACACCTTTACCCCCCCCCCAGACTCTAGGCCTGAGATTTAGGATTAGCTTTCTGGCTTTCATGCTCTCTCTGCACCTGGGGCTGGGGGAGGGGGGGCCCTGTCAAGGGTGACACACGCCCCAGATGGAGAAATGGGAGACAGGTCTCTCTGGGACCATCCCTTTCCTCTGCCCCCATGGACTTCCGGGGCAGAGTTACCTCCCCTGCCTTTCCCCAGACCTTCCCCCTCTCCCAGAAGCCGGAAATAACCACAGCGCTTTATGGGAGGAGGGGAAGAGTATTATGGGTTGTCGAGTGCTACCAACCCCGGGTCTGTTATTGTCCCCATTCTCCAGGCGGGCTCACTGAGGCCCAGAGGGGTTCAGGAGCTTGCCTCATGTTTTGTTTACATGGTTCTGCCATGGGAAAAGTCCAATCTGTGAAGTCTTTCCTCATGTCTTTGTGGCACACTCTTGGCCTTTGGATTTCAGGGGTCCTGGGTTCCCCCTAAAGGAGCAGGGAATGTTTCCTCCTGAGATCTGGTTTAGGGAAGGAGGGAGGGATAAAGAACAGCTGGAAGGGTAGGGACTGCCCTGTTGGGGTCCCTGATCCTCTACCCTGTGACCTGCTGTCATTCTGCCCTGGGATGCCAGCTGACTGGCCAGGCCACGACCTCCTGTAACCCTCTAGCAGGCCGGTCACCTCTTGGCTCAGTGTCATGCGCACATGACAATAATTAGAGTTGGGATAACTGACCCTAGGTGGGAAAGCATTGACCAAATGTGTGATTTATATTTGGCACACAGGCCTGTGGGTGTGGATGCTCGGGTGAGCAGTGAGGCCTCTGGCATAGACTCTCCCCCCCTCAAGTAAGGGGAGAAGGGGGGGACTGGAGCTGACAGGGGTGGGGGCAGGGGGGGGACAGGGCTGGCCCCAGCCAGTACATCCACTGCCAGGTGTTGCTAGTGATCCATTTTCTGCCAGCTGAGGCCATGGCTGTTGGTGGGGGACCCACTCCAGGCCAGGCTGCAGGGGTAGAAAGGGGGAGCTGCCAAGTTGCCCTCAGCGCTGGGGGATCCCTGTGGCTTTAGGGAGTCCCCTCTCTGATGCTCCTTGCAAGGATAGCAGGCATGGGGAAGAGACTCTGGAGGTTGAGTGAGAAGGGAAGGGTGGAGGCAAGGGAAGCTTAGAGCTGCCCTGTGGGGGGGGGGGAGAGGGGGAGGGGGAGGATGCCCACAGCTGACTTCCTTCCCAGAGGCCTCTGGGGCCTTGGCCAACTTTTTGTGGGGGAGGGGCTGGGGTGGGATATGGAGTCTGTCTGACACTACAGAAGGTCCAGAGAGGGACATTTCGGATAGGAGGGGAGGCCCTGGGGTGCAGGAGCAGCTGCCAGTCCTCCCCAGGCACCCCCCCCCAACCAGCCCTACCCCCACCTACCAGGCTGTCCTGACTTCTGGTCTCAAGAATGCACCAGGCTGCTGGGGAGGGGGGGCGGGGAGCTAATTGGAAACAGGGAAACAAGGCATTCCTCCTTTCCCGGGGCCAGGGCCTGGGATGGGATGAGAGCCTTGTTCTCTTCCTCCTGGCTGTTTTGGGGGGAGGTCTCCTGAAAGGTGTCCACAAGTATACCTTCCCTGTGAGCAGACACAGCATTCTTCCCCCTCCTGGCATCGCCATGTCTGTCCGCTCTCTCTTGCCTGAGTTTGCTCCCTCAGGGCCACACCATGTCAGAGCTTGGTGAATGGTCTCCAGGGCGTCCCCCAGTTCTTCCTGCAGCACCCCCCATTCGTGTTTTGTCCCCGTTGACTAGAGCCTTTGTGTCAGTGACATGCAACTTTCCCCATCCAGAGGGAGAGATTTCTGAGTGGCGTCTGTTTTGGTTGGGGGTGGTGGTGGTGGTGGTGGAGCTGGTGGCAGGGGAAGCAATTTTCCCAGTTAAAATTCCTGAGGGCCTACTGTGTGCCCAGGCCCTGAGGATCCATCTGGAAATTAGGACTCAGCCCAGCAGGAACCCTGAATTAGCTGCTGCAGGGTTTGATTAGTTCTGTCTGGGTGGCCTCAGCTGCCACCAGGGAAGAAGTGTCTCTCTCTCTCCCCCCTTCTCTCCCTCCCTCCCCCTCCCTCTCTCTCCTTCTCTCTCCCTCTCTCCTTTCCCTTCCTTCTTTTTTTTCCCCTTTCCTTGGGACAAATTTCAAATTCCGGAGACACAATGTCCCCTCTCTGGCACCTTTGGTGTCCCTAGCTCTCTTCCCCAGGGACAGACGACACCATTGAGAGGTTCTCTGTGTGTACCCGTTGTGTCTTCACTGTGCCCACATGCTAATGTGCTCTCCTGTGGTTGGGCACATTGTTTTTCACCGTATCTTCCTCCCCCCCCCCAGCCCCCCAGCCCACCACATGTGAATCTTCATCTTTTTCTTGACTCTGTTGTATTCCACTGGCTGGACAGACCTTGTTTTCTGTCATAGGCGTGGAGGTGTGGCTCAGGCAAGAGGTCCAAAGGTATAGGTCCTGCTGGGAAGTGGTTGTGATTGGATTGCTGCATCCGGATCTGCAAATCGGACTCCCTCCTCCCTCCCTGTTTTTTGGGGTTTTTTTGGGAACAGAGTCTTCCTATGTATCCTGTAAGTTTGAAGATGCCCACCTGAGTGCTGGGATTACAGGTGGGCGCCACTATTCCTAGCTGTGTTCTTTTCTTTTTTGTTGGTCATGGAGCTTGAACTTTGGATCCCTGAGCTCTTCAGCTCAAGGCGAGTGCTCTACCACTTGAGCCACAGCTCCACTTCCGGTTTTCTGGTGGTTTATTGAAGATAAAAGTCTCATGGATTTTCCTGTCCAGGCTGGCTCTGAATCATGATCCTCAGATCTTAGCCTTCTGAGTAGCTAGGATAACAGACATGAGCCCCTGATGCCAGGCTACTATGTTATTTCTCTGATGTTGTAGTTTGAAAGGAGTTATTCTCTATCCTGGTCAATCTCAGTCAACTTGTCGGCTAGGCCTAGCTCTCTTTGCCTCAGTGACCTTGCTCTTCTGCCTATGGCCAGCATTACATGCCTGTTACTTGTTGGGGGACAGGAGTGCAGACTCTGGAACCCGACTGTCAGTTTGAATCTTGGTTCTGCCACTTGCTGGCTTTGGCAAAGAGCTGGCTGACTCTGGGACTCAGTCTTCCTCTCTGTTGAGTGGGTTCATCTCTGGACCTACCTTGTCCGGTGGCTGCAGTGTTATGTGACATTTGTAAAGGTTTTGGTAGTCAGTGTGGCTGTGACATTTCAGGCGCTCGGTATCTTTTCTGTCCTTCTGGGTTGTGAACCCTCAAACTGGGCAGACACAAGATTTGAATAAGTGTGGTTTTGGTGTTGATGGCACTTGAGTTTTAAATTCAGGGCCTTCTGCTTTCTTTCTTTGTATATGCTGCTTCTGGGACTTAAACTCAGAGCCTGGGTGCTGTCCCTGGGGTTTTTGTTGTTGTTGTTGTTTTGCTCAAGGTTAGTACTCTACTACT